CAGGAAAATTGCAATCTTTATTTGAGAAGGAAAGTACTATCAGCCCTCTGGAAAGTTTAACAAGAAATCTTATAAAAGAATTATTTCTTTACTAAAAAAAACATCGAAAATTTTAATAAATTGTTAGAATTTTATGCGACTCATCATATTTTTAAATAGCATTGTTATCAGAAGTGAAGAAGAGAAGTTTTTTTTTATAACAGATAATCGATATAGAAATTAACAAGTGACAAATAAAAGTATTTAGAGAATATAACGCGGTTAATGGGGCGTAAGCTAACAATCTTTAATAACTAATAGAATGCATAATTATCGACATCGAATTTTATGCTTAACATATTAACAAAATTAAATTATTTTAAAACGAACGTAAATAGAAAATGAAAGAAATTTTCATTGATATTAATAAATTTTAGTGGAAATATCTGCGTGTCGTGTAATAATTATTTCAAATGATCCGGGAAAGACAGAAATTTTATAAAGGCAATTCTCTGGAGAAACTGAAAGGGGGAGTAGATCGAGATAAAACAGGAAAGAACAAATTTAATAATTTAAAAGAATTATAGACATAATTTATATTTAGATACAATTTTTAAAAAGATACATATCTGTGACTGTTCTAATTTAAACTTACGTCAGATTCAAGATTTTATCAGACTCGTACGTGATATACATATATTGAATAAGAACCGTTTTTGTTGGGGGTTGGGGGAACCGGGTTTAAGTTTTAGTTTCCGTTGAGGGGATCAACGTTACGGAACGGTATATCGCATAAGAATCTAAGAACCTAAGAAACACACATACATATTGTATATGTAAGGCTGCGTTCGGAAACATCACCCGAGTGCCCCATTTTATCCTCGTTGCTCACCGAATGTTAAATAAGGATAAAATGACGCACGGGGACACTCGGGTGATATTTTTCAACGCAGCCTAAGTAAGTACTGTTCCGGAATTTCGATGTCGAGAGAGATTACAAATTCACGTGGCTGCAAGAGAAATATGTATGAATACAAATACCCCTCTCGAATATTCGATACATTCTCGAAGAAAGCAGTAATAAATGCATGAGTATTATATGTATGAGTGTATAACCGAAGCTTATTTATAACGCGCAGTTGCCTATCCCGTATAGCCTCGGTTTAGAGCTCGTCCCGAAAGAATGTAAACGTGTTACCGTCGCTCGAATTTCGTGTCTATCGATCTTATTCTTCGTAGGTTTCGTCTTTTACGGTTTTATTGTCTTCTACTCGGCAGACTTTATCCGACTAACGTTTGGATCCGCTATTTGCTATATTAGATGTTTTATTTCCACGTCGGGAATACAGTGTAAGATATATATATCTCTCTCTTTCTTTCTCCACGGCATAGCGAGAAATCACGAGGATCCTATTTTCTATCCGCGCGTATCTCGAAGCAGCCGAAAGTTTGACACGCGATCGCGTGAAGGAGCAACTTGCACGGGGAATTCTTGAGAGGAGCGTTTTATCCTGAAGAAGACGATGTCGGATCAGCGGTTACTTGACACATTTACTTCATCCACTATCTATCGTCGACATGAGTACACAGGGTCGTGTACAAGTTTTATCTGTCTTATTTTTCAAGTTTGGTATTAATTTTTTTTCTATATTTAACGATTGTTCTTGAATTGTCTTGCGCAGCAAGAAACGTTGCAGAACACCTTAGACCGCAACAATGTTTAATTTACCGAATTATGAATGCTGAATCTGAGTATATACATGTATGCAGTAGGCAGCATTTTAATGCAATCAATTTTATTAATGTAATATAATTACAATGTAAGAAATGAGTCTCGAACTTGAACGAGGTTGGCAATTTGCACAGTGCACGATGGTCTCAGCGCGTCTCTCTCGTTTACCGTACAAAGACGACTGACCTCTCCAAGATCGTCATGATTTAACATTAATATTTATACAATACGGACAGCAGACAACAGATATCGCTGACCCGACAAGTTAAACAGCTTGTAGTTTAGTCAATCCTTATCTAGAATTAAATATTACTTAAGTTAAGTAAATTTTGTTCTTATTTTCTGTTAATATTTTGAAGAATATTTCGAGAAAGTAACTTTTCTTGATTTTCAATGTTTAAGATCGCACTTTGAAAGTTCTCTACGTCTCTTTTCCTCTTAATTTCTTTGGTGTCTCTTTCTGACTTCAAACTTTTTATTGCATTATTCGGAATCTATTATCGAAGTAAATTCTGATCACTAAGCCTACCTAAGGTATTTTGCGCGGCACATCTCGCGAGAGAAAGAATATATCTCGCGTCATCCTCGCGCGCAATGTATGCGCCTGCACGAAAATTTTCTCACGATAAGCAAAACCATCCTTCAATATATTCCCGCGCGTGCCATCAAGACGATAGTTCGCACACTGAACGAGCGACCATGCGATTGATGAACGATTCGCGCTCGACGGTCTGCAGACTGTTATATTATGAAGAAGTCCAAAAAGTTTGTTTTATTATATCGCGTTTTACGAAGGAGTTAGTACGAGAGAGACGCGAGAACTTTATTTGTCTCTCTCGTGACTCGTTGATTATTATTGTGACATGTGTATATGCAGCTTCTATTACTTTTTGATAATTTATTTAAAAAGATCTCATATCTTTCACATAATAATATAATATTTATTGTATTATCAAATAGTAATAAATATTATAACATTTATTAGGCTTTAATTTAAATTGATAATCAATTTAATTTAATTTTGAAACGAATATTAGTTCTGAGAATTGTTGTTAGTCAATGATTAGTACAGAATGTTGAAAGGGGAGCTCGCGGATTACAAGCACTCTTTGTTATAATTTATGAAAAAAATATGCATTAAATTATCGAGCGAGGGGATAATTAGAAAGCGGGCTGAAATATTACGGATAATGAATTTCATGCGGAAGTATGTGTACAGGTTGATCGCGAGATCGTTTGGCGACGATTTACGTTCTCATTTTGCTCTCTAATTCCTCGTCGTCGCTTCAACTGGCGCCATCGTCAGTCGGGGGTCGTTTGCCGATTTATCGCTCGACTTTTATCACTATAACGAGATTGCGCGTTGGAATAAGCGCTTTTGTCACGCCGATTGACAGTTCGAAAAAAAGGTTGGATCCACAAGCAACGCAAAGACAATGCAGAAACGCAAAGTGCGAAAGCAGAGTAAAAAGGATCGTCACGTAAAATTTATTAAAGAGTAGATTACATAATTAATTGGGACTATCGTAGTTATAATATCGCTGCATTATAATTATTTTTGTATTAAAACCTTAGGTATAATAAAGTTTAATAATTATTATAGTATAGAAACTAAAATTCCATATACTAAAAATGTAGATCTAATAGATAATTCGGTACGACACATCAGTGTGCGCTCAGACTCGGTGGTGAAAAATAGAATCTAAAAAGAAAGGATGTGGAAATATTTATATCGACATGATCGATTGCTGTTTCCTCCCCTATGTATTTTGAAATTCTCAATCTTTTTGTTTCCATCGTGTTATTACGCCCGTGAAGAATAGTGGAAATACATGCAACTGATTGCCGTTACGAAGGCTCATAATCAGCCGTTTCGACGGAAATAAGCACATCAGATCGCATAATCACCGCTGCGACCGATTAGAATTGAGCGAATTGACGGGCAAAACGGGATTATACGCTTCGTAGAAAAACAGATGTTTCTGATAGCTGAATAATCGTTCTCTGTCTGACGCTCTAGTTATTTAACATGTTATGACAAATATCCAAGAGATATTGGATTTTGAGGTAAAAGCATTGTTACGTCCTGTGGGACGTAACTGATTCTTTTCACGAAAATCTAACGGTATTATATTCCGAGTGAGAAAAGGGCAAAAGTCGAATGGTTATCGATAAGCGCGTTTAATTCATTTAACGCTGAAGCTGGCTCCAAACGGAGCCAAAACGTCCGTTTATCGTAATGCGTTAGTTATATCGTGAAAAACATATCAATGATATTTTAACATACGAACAATCGTACTTGTACATGGCATTATTAATCTCAAGTTTATT